CCAAGGCCAGAAAAACTGTTTGACATTCCACCAGCAGAGATTGATCTGGGGGTGAGTGAAGAAAAGCCTAGTTTAGAGGAGATCAAGGAGGCGATAAAAGACACCAGATAGCAGGCAAGGCTGCCGGCCCAGATAGAATTCCCCCAGAAGTTCTCAAGGCAGATATCGACACTGCGTCAGGGATTCTTCATGGAATTATTGGCAAGATATGGGACAACAAATAATTTCCACAGGATTGGAGAGAGAGATTGCTCATGAAACTACCCAAGAAAGGAGACCTGCATGAGTGTAAAAACTACAGAGGAATCATGCTCCTGTCCATTCCTGGGAAGATTTTAAGTCGTACCATACTGGAAAGACTGAAGGAAGCCGTGGATGCAAAACTAAGAGAGGAGCAGGCAGGATTTCGTAATTTTGAGATCATGTACAGATCAGATTGCAAACTTTGAGGATCATAGTGGAGCTGTCCACAGAGTGGAACTCTTCCCTGTACGTTAACTTTGTCGACTACGAGAAAGCTTTTGACAGCCTAGATAGGGACTCAATATGGAAGCTCATGCGCTGCTACAGAATACCTGACAAGAAGCTCGTGGGATTGATAGAGAAGATATGAGGGAATGAGTTGCAGTGTCTAACTTGGAGCGCAGCGGACAGACTCATTTGAAGTGAATACAGCCTGAGTGAGACAGGGATGCCTGCTATCGCCTTTTCTCTTTTTATTAGCAGTGGATTGAATAATGAGACAGACGACATCGGGACAACGCGGTGGCATACAGTGGACCCTTTCCAGTCAGTTGGAAGACTTGGATGTTGCCGGCGACTTGGCACTTTTTTCTCACAGTCGAGCCCAGATGCAACAGAAAACAGATCGCCTCAGGACTTTCTCCCGTAGTGTTGGACTCCATATTCACACGGAGAAAACAAAAGTTCTACGGATGAATGCACCCGACGTTCCTATCACTCTGCAAGGGGCACCATTGGCAGATGTTGAATCCTTCACCTACCTGGGAAGTGTTATCAACAAGGCAGGGGGAACAGACGAAGACATCAAGATCAGAATCCAAAAAGCAAGAGCAGCATTCATCATTCTCAGGAATATATGTGGATGTCTAAGGAACTGGGATTGAACACCAAACTGAGGATCTTCAAAATAAACGTGAAAACTGTTCTACTGTATGGTTCAGAGACATGGATGGAGGCTCACAGCATAAGCAGCAAGGGAACTGCAGAGCTTCGTAAATGGATGTCTACGAAGGATAGTGGGGATCAAGTGGTACGATCGAGTCACTAATGCTCAACTGTGGGAAAGAACAAGCCAGAGGCCAGTAAAGGAAAACATACAAGTGAAGAAATGGAAATGGATTGGACACACCCTGAGGAAGCCCCCGACAAGCATCATCAGGCAGGCTTTAAAGTAGAACCCACAAGGAAAACGTAAGAAGGGAAGACCAAAGATGACATGGAGGCGAGCGGTACAAGAGTAAATTGAAAAAGCAGGGACATCATGGAAACAGATAGAAGAGGATGCTCAGGACAGGCTTCGCTGGAGTAATGCTGTTGATGGCCTGTGCTCCACCGGGAGTTAAAAAGGGCAAGAGAGAGAGAGCTCTACCTATAGTCTATAGACTATAGATCTAGTGAAGTTTGGTTTCATTGGTGTTTATATTTGTTTGGTTTATATACAAAGAAAACTCTCTTGACTTTCAAAGAAACTGAACAAGGGGCAAAAACTTTACCTTCGATGTTTCTCAAAACAGCATTTTTCGAGATAGCCCCCTTGTGCTTAAAATTAAAAGCTACCTCAACTCTTGAATATAGGAGGAGGAATGCCTTGATAATAACTCCAGCTTTTAAATTGCACCATAACTTGTCTTAACAGATCAATATTTTTGTAAAGACCTGTTAGAGATTCCTATTCTAGAAAATTAATAAACAAAAAATCCTAGTGGGTGGTTTCTACAGATTAAAACAAGTTTACAGCTGGGACGATATCGCTTTTAAAAGCAAGTCCGTCTTTTTTTTCTAATTGCGAGATTATCTTTATAATTGAACACATGTTTTGAACACTTTTAGGTCAAAAAAGTGTTCACTACAGAGTTAATTTCTTGTAACAAGTTTTGCCACAAGTATCACTGGTTAGCTGTGACCTAATGTGTGCGAGAAGTGGGAAGTGCTGTGAACGATCCAATTTTCCGTGTGAAGGAGATTTGTAGCAGACATGTATTTTATGATTTTATGAAGAAAAGTTTTTTAAATCTAGTCTCAACTGTTTTGAAAAAATATGATTAAGTTAAGACAAATTGAGACAAACTGCTGTTCAAAGTATGAGTGACATTGATTTAGGCTTTATTTTAAAAGATATTTGAGGATAAGTTGTGCCCTGAATTTTTGACCACACTATAGATTGTGGGTCCCGTTTTGGGATAGGCCTACCAGTTTTGACCCCACCAACGATTACTTTTGGTTCTTCTATACGATTACTTTTTTACACGCGTGCCGATATGGAGAGATACTCTATTCAAACCTAATTGCAAAACATCAAACTATGGTCAAATTCAGCTGTCATTCTCATCGATTCCCTCTTCCCACGTCCTCCCCTTTAACCCCAACACCTTCCCCCCTTCCTCCCCCTCCCCCAGAAAAAAAACCCCACATACACACTCTCCGTTGTATACCTTCTATCTTCGCGATCCCTCACCACACACACACACACACACACACACACACACACACACACACACACACACACACACACACACACACACACACACAAACTCGCTCTCACACACACGCCAAATGCATACTGAGCCCTAAAGCATCTACATCTACATAATGTTATAGAGTTTAAATACAATTTTAAGATGGTCTGAAGAAATAATTGGGGGCTCTCATGGCATAGAAGTTAGGACGTTGGCCTCTCATTCAAAGATCCTGGGTTTGAATGCGGGTAGCGAGCGAAAATTGTTATTCTCTAAAATTGTCTCCTTTCCTGCTCTCTAGCAATGTTCTGTCGTCTGCTTTCATCTCCTCTTTCTGCCCCCACCCCCTCACCCCCTTTGCCCCCTCCTCTGGGCTCCTGACTCTTTCTGCAGCTGTTCTAAGTCTGCTACTCCTTGGCTCCTTCTTACTGCTGTCTTTCAGCCACACTCCTGATATTCTGGAAGGAAAGATCTACCCCTAACCTTCTCGGACAAGGGCCCGTGTGCAAGTTGCACGCGCTAAAGATCCTTTGGTGTCTAAAATCGAAGAGTAGGCTTCAGCCGCCACCCAGGCAAAATGATAACATTTCTTACAACTGAAAAAGTTTAATGTGTCCAGCGCGCTCATATGAACTTTTGCAGTTGCGAGCGCCTTAAAAAACTTACCAAAAAAAAGAAATAATTGATACCGTACCAATGACATGACGCTGTCCCATGCAGATCGAGTCTAGAATCAGATTCCACGATGTACTTAAAATGTACTCGCATTGAACTTAGCGCACAATTCCTGGTCATGATAATCAAACGTTCTAGCCGTACTTCTCATAAGACTGCATAAGGGTATGTGGGGAACTGGAACTGTGTCAAATGCTAATTATAGAACTTTTGCATCTTAAGTGTGTAGCTGGGGTAAGGAAAAAGGGGAAGGAAGGGTATTATTTTGGTGGCCCACACACTGTCAGCCGAGTTCCTCTCTCTTCCTTAGTAAAATTTCGTCTATATATAGATATATGATATAACGTGACAGGCCAATTGTTGAAAGCACCGGTCTGCCAGGTAAGGTCTCAGTAGGAAGTTTACAAGTGACGAATAGAACATCAAACAGAACCATGAGTGACCAAAAATCTCTCTAGGCAATATAGATTTGGGCTTATTCTGACAATAAATGTACTGACAGTAATTAGAGACAGTTTGCTGATAATGTTACAGATGAAATGCATAATAATAATATGTATTAAATAGTCTAATATCCTTCAATAAAGTAAGCAACTGAGAAGCCGAATAGGCAACTACTAAGGCTTTCTCTTTGGGCCCAGGAGACAATTTGTAAAATCGCCGGCTAGGAACATGTTGTTCGCGCTAAGTTGTTCATAGTGACAAGAGGCTGTGACAACAAAGTTGCGAGCGTTACTTAAACAGAGAGGAAGAAGTGCATCAACTTTTCAGTGAACCCCTATCGTCTTTTTTGGGCGCCTTCAAATCAGCAAAGTGCTTTTTGAATGTTGAAAATAAATATTTAAAAAATTAAGATTTATAAACTGAATGGAAATTATAAGCAGCAGTAAATCTCTTGTCCACTGTACAGCCGATAAAAAATATTCCAGTTAACGAACCACCCCTAGTGACAGTGACCATCATTATGCGACTAGAAGGCTTTAAACTTAAATAGTATGTCTTATTTTTGTTAGTGGTCTCCACCTAAAAACTAAAACCTAGACTGAACACGTTCTCTCTGTCTCTCTATCTCTGTCTGTCTGTCTTTCTCTCTTTCTCTCTATTTCACTCTCTTTGTTTCTATCTCTCTCTCCCCCCCTCTATCTCTCTTTCTCTCACTATGCGCCCTGTGTTAGCTTAGTTGGCATCATGCAGGAATGGAGCCGATGGCCCTGATTTGAATCCCTAACTGAGCGTTCTGAACTTGGATTGTTTTGGGGAGTTTTTAGGGCTCTCCTCTCTTTTGGCTCAGTCCTGTAGGAGTACAACTTTAGTTTTGGAGGTCCTGCCTCTTAGACATAACCTTAAAGTTTTGAAAGGGGCATAAAAATGTATTCAATGATAAATGTTTCACTCATTCTCTATCTCTCTCTGGTTAGCTGCTGCTAGAGCATGCAAAAGATATATGTGGCGTCGGTGGCCTAGTGGTTAGGCTCTCGGACTCGCAACCGTAAGGTCGTGGGTTCGAATCCCGTCAGGGACCCGATGTTGTGTCCTTGGGAAAGGCACTTTACACGAATTTTCCTCACTTCACCCAGGTGGGAATGGGTACCCGGCTATAGACAGCGAAAGATCTTGTCAGTTTGTTAGTGTTTGAGCGCTTAATCAGCTGCTTGCACTGTATGCTTCCCGGGAAGCTGAGAATGTTTCGGAATGTTCTATGGTCTGCTGGGGTAATAATATAGTGTAAAGCGCATAGAGCCTGCTGTTGAGCGGGGAATATGCGCTATACAAATGCTATTTATTTATTATTATATATATATGTGTTTAAATCCCTTTTGCAGATGTTTCATCCTTTGTCTCCCTGTTTCTGCTGAGATTTAGTCTCCTACACAATCAAGGTTGACCCTGAGAACTAAGGTTGAAGAAGCGTGTCCCTCGAAGATTTAAACTGTCATATATAGAAAGCTACATAATAGTACCTGTGTTTTCAATGCAATATGAAAAAAAAGTTTTAACCCTCTTTCCCTTTTTCTTTCTCCCAAGATGTGCCCGAGCTTTTTTGGATGAAAGCTGTTTATAAAAAGACTGCTGTGTGGTGACAATCATCCCATGAAACAAGATGTCAGCTCTTTTCATCCGTCAACAGTTACTTATGCACAGTGTACGCAGTAACACAGTATGTGCAAGACATTCTGAGATTCAGTTTTTGCCGAAGCAACTACTATTAAGGTACCACCACATGCTCAGCTCTTCAAGACCTGGCTCAAATTGTCAAAATATGATGACTTTTAGTTGGTGCACAAGTCTGAAAAGGAAAGGAATATGTTCATCAAAACACACTTCAGCCTTTAATGTTGGACCTCAAATTCAGAACAATGCCATATGTTTCAAAACTATTGACAATTCCGTACAGCCTTACAGTATGTTAATGAACAGTGGAAGATGCTACCATTCTGATTCAAAATTCACAATGGCAAATTCAGACTTTTCTTCTTATGTTCAAAGCCTTGTAGAGGAGTTCAACAGTATAACTTCCAGCACAATTGCACTCGACAACAAAGCAGTTGACAAGCAAGTATACCATCGTCTCCAGTTTCTGGAACCAGTGGTTGCAATTGCAGAGGTGCTGAAGGAAAAATATGAGGAGCTTCAAGAACTAACAAATCTGCTTAAAGGTAAGGCTGAACACACAGGCACCAACCTCAACTATGTTATAAATTGTAAAATAGTGTAATACAATCAATCCTACCCTGATGGCCATCTGTAGTATAAGACCATCATCTGTACAAATGGCCCCTTCCCATTTCCTCCCTTGACTGGTTTTTACACATAATGTAACTGTGTGAACTATGTGACATGTCCACCTGTCTAATACGGCCACTTTTCTCATCGACATTTGGTGACCGTCTTAGACAGTTTCAGTCGTATTAAGTGAAACTTATGCATAATAATACAGATTTGGCCAAATAACTTATGTTCTGGAGAAAAAAAATTATCTGTTCAGAGAGACAGTGGTCAATTTATTGTTTCAAATGGATTGTACAGTGAAGTCCGCTGCTTAAACCAAAATCCACAGTAGGCCTACCACCAGATTTTCTTCAGTTTAGTTCTGTTTTTAGTCTAGAGAAGTTGCTCAAATAAAAGAAAAAGAAAATAGTTTTTTCTTTCGGTTTACCGCTGATTTAGCATTTACCTTGTTAGGTTTTAGCGGACTCCACTATAGTTCTTATTGAAACTGAAAACAGTTCTACTGTAGTGGTGGTTCTTAAGTTCCCTTGTGAAGTAATGTTCAATTCCTTTTCCTTACGTGCCTATGACTGTTCATTTCAGATGGGTATTACTAATAAGTATATGGCTTCATTATACTCACTACATTAATGTTAATCCTTATAAAAATTCTTTGCCTCATCAGTGTGAGTTTTGCTTCAATTGGAAGTTATATCTTTATTTTTATACTCATGGGTAATCCGAGTAAGTGCTTGCTATTATTATTTCCCTGGTCTTGCTGAAAATGACTGGGTAATAGATGCAATTGTATTGCTTATTTTTTGCTAGCTGTACAGTTATGTTCTGTCAAATATGTACAGATGAGGTTGACAAAGAGATGATGTCTCTTATTGAAAAAGACATGGACATTCTGAGAGAGGACATTGAGGAGACAGAATTTAAGGTACAGTGTGCATAATATGGTCGCTTTTAAACACAAGGGGGCTATTCCGAAAAATGCTGTTTTGAGAAAATCAAAGGTAAAGTTTTTGCCCCTTGATCAGTTTCTTTAAAGGACAAGGAAAGTTTTCTCTATAACCGAACAAATATACTCATCAATGAAACCAAACTTCTCCTATAGGTAGGGCAATGTCCACTTTTGGTGTAGGTCAAGATTTCTGGAAACCCCCGAAATCTGGGTTAGCCCGCTTGTCCTTAAAAGTGACCATATATCATGTGTATATATCTCTGGCAAGATGTTCATACTAAGCCCTGAAAGCTACTTTTTTTTCTAGAGAAAAAAAACTGTCTAGTTCATTTATGTTACATTATTATATGTCATTTTTCTCACCTTTTTTTTTCAAAATTAAAAAAATTTGAATTTTTACAAAATATTTCTTGAGAAGTTGCTACCAATGTCGCAGATTAAGAAACTGCAAATATAAAGAACTGTTTTAATTTTGGGCTTAGTGTATCTGAACAGCGGGCCAACAATATGTGTAAATTCAGTGTGGAATCAGGTGCTCGTAAATTTTTTGGCATATATGGTATCATTCTAGACCTTATTCATTTTTCTTTTTTTAATGTTAAAACGATAGACCAGTGCACCATAGTGAGTTCAGTTCGCGAACGACAATAAACTTACGTGACATGTGTAAAAATTTCAAAGTAATTGGATGTGTAGTTTTTTAACAATACACTTTTAAAATGTCTGAAGTGAAAAATGTTAAAGAGTATATTATTATATGTGTGTGTGTGTGTGTGTCCCATCATCGTTATATGTCATTCTCTCAACTTCTTTTCTTTCCCTCTTTCCTTTTGCCTTTCATAGCCAAGACTTTGTCATATTGGTGTGACAAACTCCAAGAATGGAATGTGTGGGATGAGAGCATTTAATGCCTTGCAATGTGGGCCATGGATACTGGATATTTAAATTTGCACAAACGAGGGGGGTTCAAGAAGACTTTGGTCTAAACATGAATGAATGAAGAAAGAGCTTTGTAACTTGGCACACATACTTTTATTTCTCTACATAGTCTCCATACAGAGTAACACATTTCTGCCACCTCTCTTTGACCTTCAAAAGTCCTTGAGAGAAAAGTGACCCTGAATGGGCCCCTTACCAGCCTTCAACAACTTCAATGGCGTCCTCGTTGTCATGCAAATGACGTCCTTTGGGTGATTGTTTTATATAAGAAAACGAAAAAAAGTCTCAGGGGGGCAGGTCTGGAGAATAAGCTGGATGTGGCAGGATTTCAAAGCCGCACTGTCCTGCTGTGTGGACAGCTTGTTGTGTCCTGTGTACATGGGCGTTGTCATGCAGTAGGAGGACCCAATTACAGAGTTTTCCACGCCTTTTTCTCACCGATTTGGACCGCAGTTTTATCTGCAAACCCAAGTAGTAATGTCCTGTGACTGTTTTTCCATTTTCCAGGTAGTCAGTCATGATGATACCTTCACTATACCAGAAACACGACAGCATAATCTTTCCACTTGATGGTGTTACCTTTGCCTTCTTTGGTGAGGGAGATGAAGGAGTTTTGCATGGAAGACATTTTTTGTTCTGGATCTAAAGGATAAATCCATGTTTCATCCAGAGTCACCATGTTTTTAAAGAAATTTGTGTCCCTGGACTAAATTCGAAGGAGAGTTTTGCAGGACTCAACCCTTTACTTCTTTTGCTGACTTTTGTAAACAGGTGGGGTAACCATCCCACAAACACCTTATTCATGTTAAGATTGTCATGGAGAATCATTTCAATAAAAAATTGACCCTAGACACTGATAATCGTTTCACTTGAGAGTTGTTTAACAGTTATACATCAGTCTTGTAGAATCACTTTCTTCACTATGGATACATTCTCTTTGGTTACTGCAAAAGATGGGCGGCCTTCACGATTTTCATCCATCACCGACATGAATCCCGATTTGAATTTTTTTTCCCAGCATGTCACAGTATTATAATGAGGACATAATTTGTCACCATAAAATTGGATCATTTCCTGAAAAATGTCCGAAGGGGATTTTCCTTGCAAGTGTAAAAACTTGATAACTGAGCGGTATTCAACAGGCTCCATGGCACAGCTTCTGCACACAACTTATAAATGTTTATATTGATCTCTTATCTCAGTTGATAATGAATTATTATTAGATAATTTCCCCTCATCTCAGATGGTGAATGCCCTGGTTGGAGAGGATGTAGCAGATGACAATGACATCATCTTAGAGGTCTCTCCAGGAGTTGGTGGTCAGGAAGCAATGCTGTTTACTGCCGAGATTTTCAACATGTACCTTAACTATGCAAGATACAAGAACTGGTCTGTGGGTGTAATCAGCAGCGATGGAAATGAATTAGGTAACATTCTGTAGGAAAAAAATAAAGTGTTTGTTCCTGATGGAAGAGATTCCTAGTTACTTTACAAGACTTTACAGGCCGGGCCATCTGAGAGTATCAGTAGCGGCCCGTTTCTTTGTTTTCATCATCGAAGTAGTCTACTTATTTAATACGCTGATAGTGTCTCTAGTAACACTACAAGTTAGTTTACCGAAAATTTGGAGTAAATTCGCTCCCATGCATGGATGTTTTGTCTTTTAAAACTGTTGTTGTTCGCAGTAGGGTATGAATAATGTCGGCTTATCTGAACATCTACACAGAGATTTAAGAGAAGTAGTATGAAATGCCTTGTCAACCTTTTTTGCTCAGTTCTGATTAGTTCACAGTTAAATCAGGGCTGTTTCTCCACACTGTCTTCATACTGCAACCTTGTCTTACTCCCTTGTGCATTCTTAATTCAGTCGAAAGTCTAAAATGGCCATCCATTATTGAAGAGAAAAGTGGCCGTCTTGGAGGTGTGATAGTCTTACTCAGTGTCGTTATAATATAATGTAGAAAAAACAATACACACAAGGGGGAAATGTGAAGTAGCCGTTTGCATAGTTGATTGTCTTATACCAGTGGGCGTTAGAACAGGCTCTACCGTACTGATTTCATGGTTATGTCTACAAATTATTGTCTATTTGTCCATATGAATAAAGGAGATGACATAGGATTGGAAGGTTTTGGCTGTATGTGAGTTGAATGGTTTTTAGTAATTTACATTGTCAAAAACTTTACCGTAGTAAGTAACAATGATCTTGAGATTTATGTATTTGCAAACCCAAGTAGTACATCTTAGTTCATCTTTGTACCTTTGCCTTATATCGCCCTTGCCCGTTGTCCCCCCCCTCCCCCCATCTTTTCAACCCATGACTTAAGGTGGCTCAAGGAAAGCCTCAGTAGAAGTCGGCGGAGAGGACGTCTACAAACATCTGAAGCACGAGGCTGGGGTACATCGTGTGCAACGCGTGCCCAAAACTGAGAAGCAAGGACGTACGCACACCAGCACAATCACTGTGTCAGTGCTACCCCAGCCAAAGGAGGCATGTGCTCTCTCGTTTTGTTTTTGGCCTCTTTTTGCTCCTATTGAAATGTAACATTTGTGTTTGTCTTAATTCTGGATCAGGAAAGTTGGCTATATAATCCAGGGCTGCCCATCATTGTGAATTTGGCGGAATCATTACGATTTGTATTCAATTTTATGACATTACGTCCGTAATACCCCTGATTCGGATGTTTCAGCTATCCTAACCCACTGCCAAACTTCCCAGTGTATAAAGAGAGAAAAACTACCATATCTGGAGTGTCTGCGTCACGTGCAGCATTGAGCCCTTCTTGTTGTTCAGTGCCACTTTGCCCTTAGAAAAATGTTGGACTTTAGAAGTGTCAAAGCCAAAAGTACGGCAAACATTAAGTTGACAAAGTGTTAGAAAATTATTGCCTTTTTGTTTTGTGAGTGACAGTCAAGGCAAATGAAGGAATTTAAAAAGAAAAGGATCCTTTTTTGAAACTTAAAGCAAATAGCTTTGGTGGGTACATGGCGTGGTGCGTTGTGATGCACAATCAGGATCATAGGCTTGGTATGCTGTAGTTCCAAATGTTTCTATTGTTTGTGCAAGCAGTAACACCCCCACCCCCACCCCCTCTTCCCTAATTTTTTTCTTAACTTGACAATGATGAGCCCGCCAAGACCTCTTTTTTCATCCCACCTTTGTTCATGTTGTATTTATAGGGCCTGCTTGACTTACTCCCTTGTCCTTGACCGCCCTGGGAAGAAGACAATCTATAGCCATATTACTCGCTTTTAAGCCACATTACTAATTTTTTAAATATGTTGTTTACTAAAACATATGCTGGTGAGTGGGCAGCCCTGTATGGTACAAAAGTAAGTCTAGCCTTTACTGAATTCTAAAAATGTGCCACGATGCTGTGGAATCAGGCGCTCGTCAATTTATGGGCATATGGAATTATTGGCATCATCTTAAAGCCTGTTCATTTGCTTTGCTTTTAATGAAAAAAATATCCTTCTATCTTGAATAGACGTAGAGATATTTGCGATTGAAGGAGGTGGGGGCCACTGGGTTGAGAGGTAAAATTAGCAAGAGAATGGTTGCCGACGTTTGGTGACCTCCATAGTCTTTGAAAACTGAAAATTTACAGTTTTTGTCCCTTTAGCCAACATTTGTCAGTAAAATCCACACAGAAATGTTTTTAGATGGACAAAAAAAATGTTGAGTCAAAAATTTAAAAATCTATAAATATTGCCAAACCAGCAGAAAATTTCTGTATTTTGACGAGTACCTGATTTCACTACAATGCCTCACATATGATGAATGGCCACCAGATTAGTTGCTAGATTTCAAAGTAAGGGTCAGATTTTGATGGATTTTCACTTGAGTGTGAAGCTTACAATGAAACTTCAGGCGGGCAGGGATAACTGAAACACATTGGGAATTGACGAATATGTGTTTGACACATCCATAATTCGGGTAATCCGTACAGCAAAAAATTAGAGATCAGATGTCAGTCGGGTAGTGGCAAATTGTACGATGTATCTGTGGTTTTGAGTTTTCTGTGTTCATATTGTCTGTGCCCGACTGAAGTATTCACCCCAGATTTGCACTTGTTTTGCCTTACTCTTATATCTTTGTGATTCCCCCCCACCCCTCCCACAGATTGATATTCAAATAGACCCCAAGGACCTCAAGGTGGAGACCATGCGTGGCTCAGGGCCAGGGGGCCAGTCGGTGAATACAACAGACAGTGCTGTCAGAATCACACATGTCCCTACAGGTCTGCCTCAAAATATTTTGTTTGTTCTTCTTACTCTGAAACTTAAGCTTGTGTTGATAATCAGTTGATGTTTTCATGTGGTAACATTTTAAGATGTGTGGTTTGTGTGTGGGGGGGGGGAGGGGGCATTTCATGGTTCATAGGTTACATCGTAATGATTTTTGTTTATAAGAATAGTGTGAGATTGAGGGCGATTGGCGGGTGCTTCTGGTGTGGTTTGTTCCTTCTTCCTATCAAACAACTATCGTCTTTCTCTCTCCTTTTTTATGTTTGTTACTGTCTTGTAACACCTCTAATCTTCGGCACTTATATGACCTAATTGTGTTACAAGTGCTTTAAAACACTTACTTAAACTAAACAAATGTTGTGGGACTAAAATGATAAGTTTCCTTTGAGAAAACAATAAATTGTACAACTGAGGACTGACAAATTTATGTTTTTTTAAAGTGTTTTACGGCACTCGCAACTGCATAAAGTCTCATGAGCGTGCGGGACACTTTGAACATTGTCAGTTGGTAGGTAATTTTGAATTTTTGCCCGGATGACGTCCGGAGCCTACTATTATCGATTGTAGGCCACCAAGGGATCTTTAACCTGCACAACTTGCACAGGGGACCTCCGATATTTTTTGCCCTTGTCCGAGAAGGCTAGGTATAGATGTTTCCTACAAGAAGATCAGGGGTGTGGCTGAAAGACAGCAGTAAGAAGGAGCTAGGGAGTAGCAGTAGAAAGGCTTCAGTGAGAAAGTCAGGAGCCCAAAGGAGGGGGGCAAAGGAGGTGAGGGGTCAAGGGCAGAAAGAAGAGACAAAAGCGGACAACAGAACATTAGTTTAGAGCAGGAAAGGAGGTGAAAGGAGACAATTTTAGAGAAAAAAATGTTTCCGTCACTACCCGGATTCGAACCCGGGACCTTTGAATAAGGGGCAAACCCCTTTACCTCTAGGCCACGAGAGCCCCCAAATTTATGTTTGCATCTGCTTGCAAAGATTTATCATCACCTACAGTCAAACTCATTATACCAACCCCCATTTTACCGCCAGCCCCGCTAAACGCCAAATTTTGCCAATATACGAATGGGAAAATCTATATGAAAAAAGCATTTATGCCTTTTCTCCGCCATCCACCAACTATCAGAGCTGTACAGGCCTTATTAAACTATATAAATTTGCTTTGCTATTCTGTCAGCAAACTGGACACTAGAGGTACACACAGCACACGGCACCCACTTAGCGGCTGCTTGATAATGTCTCTACCACACACTTCTTTGTGAGCTAGGTTTAAATTTAGTGCTTGTTGCTGATTTTCTCCCTCTGCTGTCCATCCCACCTCCCCACCGTTGTCTTTTTCATACCCTACCACTCAGTCAGTCCTCAGGCTAATTTGAATAGTAGACAGTGCTCTCGCAATTTAGTAGAACCCAATGAAAATGGCTGAAGATGAAGTGATGAATACACACAATTAGTACAAAAGAAGTGAACATCAAAATGCAGATTTCTATACACTGGAGTTCACTTATGAGTCCTGAAATAACGAGAAGTCTGTTATAAAGACTCTATTCTAAAACCCATTTTCTTTTCCCTTCTTTATCTTTGTAAATAAAATACTGCTGTAGCGCAATCTGACAATCACGCGAGTCAGTTGAAGCGGAATATGGCTGCTGCTGTGCACATCTATGTAACACTTTGCCAATTGAGAAACTTGATGATCTAGTGAAACAAAGAATGGGAGAGCCAGTGTGTGCCAGCTATGAAGGCCGTAGCGAATGAGTGGGGAGTGGGTGGTTGGCCGGTGCTCTGGTGTGGTTTTCTCCTTCTTTCCTATTGCACTACTATCTTCTTTTTCTCTCCTTCTTCTTTTTTATGTTTGTTACTCTCTTGTAACACTTCTAACCTTCAGCACTTATATGACCTTATTGTGTTGCAAGTGCTGTAAAACTTCAACTAAAACTTGACTGAATGGGGAGGGTGTGGTATGCACAGACAAGCAGAACGCATCGCGTGATAGGCCAGCCTAGTCTAGACTATCTAAGCCTACCATGCCTCTCACTTCACCGATGCAGGGATGGAGAGGTCACAGCACTGTGATGGATGGAGTAAATGAGTGACGTTTGCAGGGTGTGGTGTGTTCCCATGTGCGCAAGCAAACGGAACACACCACAAGGTGTGGCGGGGTGGGGGACAACACAGCGGGTGAGTTAACCTAGAGCCTTTTCTTTCTGATCGCCAACGCCGAGCTGTTAGCATCACTAGGGCTAAGAAAGATATCTGATTCGATTTTTGATCGAGCTGGACCTTGAGGTCATGTTGAACAAAATCATCATCAGGGGAGAGATAACAAAAAGACATAAATAGAACTCCAAACTCATAGATTAGGCATACTTTATTATTTCATTTTATTTTATTACTGGATCCCTTATAACGAGAATCCTGCTATAACGGATATTTTGCCCCAGTCCCTTCCCTCTCATTATAATAGGATCCCAGTGTATAAATACGAAGAATGCAAATAGATAATTCAGCGTCAAATTAAGCTCCATGTGTTAATCTGACTGATTTTAATGTCGTCATTTTGAAAATGCTACTGTTCTTAGGCTTGTTTTCTCAGTTCAGATTTGTTCACAGTTAAATCAGGGCTGTTTCTCCACACAGTCTTCATACTGCAACCTTGTCTTACTCCCCTGTGCATTCTGAATTCAGTCGAAATTGTCTAAGATGGCCACCCATTGTCGAGGAGAAAAGTGGCCATCTTAGACGTGTGGTAGTCTTGTACAGTCTCATTTTCTATACATATTATATTTTTGAAAGTTCCTCTCTTTGGCCGCCTAAAACTTCCAAACTACTTAACTTTCGAATTTGAAAAAAATTACAATCGTGGTTCAGAATCATTTAAAGGGTGCACAGTTTTATTGGGCAGCCTGAAGTCACTGTTGTTTACTTTTCAGTTTTTCATTACTTTCGTTTAGATCTAATCTTGGGAAAGTCCTTCTTCTAACTCTAAGACGCCATTGTAGACAAGTGAGGTTTCCGTTCACTAGCCGTGTGCCAGTACTGATTCCACACCTTTGAAATTATGGAGTGTACAACCACGAAAGAGGAATAGAGAATCTATCTATACATATTACATATATTTGGCAACTTGGAAACTCATGTGTCACTTTTCTCTAAGATTTTTTGCTCCATTCCAGTAGAGTGTAAAGATAGTAGGCCAATGACTTTCAATTGATGTAAGTGCACCGACCATTCCTTTCATCGAAAGGGGGCCCAGCTAGTAATATTATAATGTTTAAAAAAGCCCACACACACAGGGTGGGGGGGGATGGGAAGTGGTTGTTTGTATAGTTGATTGTCTTATACCAGTTTTAGTTTAGTTTTAGCAGTAGAAGTTTGATAGCGCTCGCAACTGCATAAGGTCATATAAGCACCAGAAGATTAGAGGTATTACAAGAGAGTAACGAACATAAAAAAGAAGGGGAGATAAAGACGATATATGAAAGAAGAAGCAAACCACTCCAGAGCACCCGCCAACCACCCATGTCTTATACCAGTGGCCGTTAGAACAAGTTCAACCATACCGATTTCATGGCTATGTCAACTAATTATTGTCCCCTTGTCCAAATTAAAAAAGGAGATGAGATATGATTGGAAGGTTTTGGCTTCAAGTGAGTTGAATGGCTTTTAGTAATTGATCACGTCAAGAACTTTACTGCAGTAACAATGATCTATTCCCTAATATGTTTTTAAAATTTTGAATAAAATTTTTAAGTTGCCTGGAGAGCTTCAAAGGAACTGCATCATCTTGACCTGATGTCGTAAAAGCAGG